TCCATTCAGCCCATCAAAGTCCCCAAAGAAGTTAGTGCTTTTTGTCAACTTAAAGGGGTAGTTAGATGAAAAAACATTTTCCTGTTCGATTTTAGCCCCATTGCTTTCATTCTGACAGTGTTAACCTCATCCAAGCCAAGAAGATGTCATCATCCATCTTATATCCCTCTTCTTAATCCAGCGGCAAACTGGCATTAAACCTTCTTTGTTCCATTCAGTATCTTTTAGATGAAGCCTTCAAAATCAGGGCAAGATCACCCCAAGGCAGTGAAAATATCTTAGATATTACAATAGTCTGTGGCCCTCCAAAGCTCAGACTTATCTGATGAAATCTTTTATCTTTGTATTTAATTCCTCCTGTTAAAGCTAACTTTAATTTAAATCTAGCATTTTAATTAAACTTTTCTCCTTAGGAAATAATGATGAGAAAAGATTGAAAAACACTGTTGTAGACAGAGACAAGCCAGACTAAGCTGGTATGTACTTCCTGAGGTGGACATTCTGAACTCTACCTGGGGACAGCTTGTGATACTGTTTCTGAGGGGTGAAATTTGGGCTTAACAACAACAAATTCCAGGAGGAAATCTCAATAGTATTTTTCTCTTTTCTCAGTAAAAAGTATTCTCCTGATGAAAAATTTGAGTCCCAGAAGCATCTAGTTATCACCCAACACTGAGCTGTCTTGCTGATGTGACATTATGGAATGTGGTGTTGAGAGTATGGACACTGAGGCCAGACAAACCTGGGTGTGGATCCTGGCTCTCTCCCCCTGTGGCATTCAGCAGATTCTCGTACTTTTCTGAGCCTCATTTGCATCTGTACAAGGGAAATAAAACTCACTAGTAGATTTGTTTTTCAGATGAAACATGAATTGGGTGTAAAGGATGTGAAATGGTGTTTGGTACATAAGTGCTCAGTTAGTGGTGGAAGAAATAATGGTTGTTAATATCTGTCTATCAATTTATTTGTCTATCCTTTCATCTGCCTATCTATCCATTTATATATCTGCCTACCTACCTATCATCATCATCACAGTAAAATACCTGCAGGCACAGAACATCTCCTGGACCAAACTCTTTGCTCAGCAGTCCCCAGCAAAGCCATATATCCCCTTCACTAGTCAGCCTTTCTGCATAACAAGGGAGCAGTAGGAAATGGGGGTTGAGTGCTCCTCTCCATGGGGCCCCATGGACAGGGAGCCTTGGTGTGACATAGTTATATGGCAGCTTTTTCTGTAGTGGTGAAAACTGTTAGATTAAGTGGCCAGGGGGAGGAAGAAAGTATTCCATGAGAAAAAAGTCCATCCTAGATTCCATTAGCCAAAAGAGTCTCTGATTTCTTCCTGCTGTTGCAAAATAGAGCAGGATTTACTTTAGCCAAAGTAAATACAACAACAAAAAGAGATTAAGGTTAAAAAAAAAAAAAAGAACAACACATATAGACCAGGGAAAGAATTTTTATTTAAGAAGAGAGTTATAGTCTTTTTTGAACTCAAAAACAAGTCACATCTGAAAGCTTTTGTTTTTTGCCCATATCTATTATTTATTCAACTTGGTAATGCTACTGTTTCAAGTCTCAGTCTTGGTGAATACTATTATTATTGTTTGGAATATGAGCTACTTAAAGCGTTCCAACATGGAAAAGAAACCAAAATAACCTGGGCTTTTTGCAAGTCTGTTATTATTTCAAAGAATCATCTTAAAAAATGCCTTTGGATTTGTATAAATGCAGAACTGGGGTAGGTGTGATAAAAGCCTTACCAACAAGTTCCCAGAAGGCTTTTCTTAATGAGCTCATCATTAAAGAGTGAGAGATATGGGTCCTCAGTGTCATGTCTTAAAGGCTCCGCCCATGCCACCAGCACACGTTGTGTGGGTCCATCAGTGTTCTCAGGGGGTGTCCCGCACAGGTTCCTAATTGCTGCTATCAACTGCAAGTTCAGGCCTAAAGGAGATTGCAGCCAACTTGGACTTTCTCGGGTTCTTGACCTGGTTTGTGTATAATTATTGGAACGTCACATATGCTCAGGAACAGACGTGTATATACCCTGTACCTGCCCTAAGGGTGAACAGGTGAGGAGCAGGCAGTCCTGGGGCCAGCACTCATTAGAGGAGAAGGAGGGTCAGGCAAGGCTTCTTAGAGGAATGACATCTCAGCTGAGACCTGCAGAATGAATGGGCCGGGCAGAAGGGAGAGGGAGCGAATGGTCTAAGCGGAGGCACTGTGGAAGTCAGGGCACAGGAGGCAAGATGGTCAGGATGAGGGGGCGGGATCAGCAGGGGCCAGGTCACACAGGGGCCTGGCCGCAGTTAAGGGGTTCAGACCTTGTCCTGAGGCTAGCTTTAAGCAAGGAGTAATCTGGTTGGATTTACACGAAGGATTAACGTATTCCAGCCGAGGTATGCAGAAGCTATTACGTGAATGAGGGTTGATCAAGCTGTCTGGCAGGAAGTGGACTCCCAGTTCACCTAGCTGGGCTCCCACAGCCTGGGTCTTGCCCACTTTACCTGTACTGCTCGAGTGCCACGCGTGTTATTAGAGCAGTTGTATATTGTTATATTGTCATTTCTACTAAAGAAAAAAATATGACCTCCTCTGTTCTTTCTGATCTATGATTTTCTCTGTTCAAGATGGCATTCCTTGGTGTCAGATGCAAACTGCTGGGCTCACCGGACTTGACTGGCCTAGTGCACTGATATTATATGCCAGGATTTGTGACCTCAGAAATACTATCTGCCAAATTCCAGTGTGCCAATGACATAGTATTCTGGTAGTATACAAAACCCAGCACATATCCAAAGAACTTCCTGTGGCTCTGAGACGAGGTTTGGTGACAAGTTTGAAGGTTCCAGTAGGTACAAGTTAGAACAGAAAAGATAAGGTGTGGCTTTTGCTCTGGAGGTGTCTGGATGGCATGACAACAATAAGTACTTTAAACAGTATGAAAATGACAAGGCTATGATCAGCAGGTGCAAATGGTTTTTGTACAGACTGACATTAAGGCCTGGCTTAGACTGAAGAGAAATTATCCAAGAGGAGTTCAGGGAAGGCCCTCTGGGCAGAAGGCGATCCCAGGGATTGGCCAAGAAAGGAAAGACTTTCCAGGAAGAGGCTGGGGAGAAGCATATCCAGTAATAAGAAGCTGAAGCTTTGCTAAGCAACACAGCCTGGCTGGAACCAGAGTTGGAACTAGCAATACTGAGGCAGGCTGCTGTGGATGAAGGGGTCAGCAGGTCCTCCAGGCTGAGCCTCCGGCCTTCACAGTTGAGTCCGGCAGAATGCATCCCTTCCTGTGTGACATGATCCTAATCAGGGTTCTTCCTCTTACTGCTCACCAGATACAGCTACTTGGTTCCTTCCTTCCTTCCAGGTCTTTATTTTTATAATTCAGTGATACTTTCCTTAAAAGTCAGGTTCTGATTTCCTTATAGACCTACTGATTTTCAAGTAAGCAATGAGTAGTGGTCTCACCTCCCCCATCTTATTGTTTTGTTTAAATCTTTCTTTCCTGCTGTCATGCTTTGTTGTGACAGTGAATCTTTCTGGTCATCCTGGAGGGACTGTACAGAGAGAACCTGGGGAACTGACTCCATGGGCTGTTGACTAGCCTGCCAGTAAAGATGCTGCAGACCAAGGACCTTCTGTTCTCAATTCCACAATAGTTTATTTGTGCTAGCATGTCACTTTCTCCAGCTCTATTTTTTCACTTGAAAAACTGAGGTAATAACATTTGTACATCTATGTGCAAGAACTTAGTGGGGTCTGAAGAAGATTCTCCACATGTTAGAAAATGTTGAGACATGTAGCTATTTAAAATATTGTGATGAGATGTGATTACCATGTTGAAGATTTGGGGTGCAGGTATTTTAGAGAGGACTCAAAATGGCAATTGTAAGTGAAGCACTGTTTTTCTTTTTTTCTTTTTCTTTTTTGTTATTAATGCATTATTGATACATACTCTTATGAAGGTTTCACATGAAAAAACAATGTAGTTACTACATACACCCATATTATCGACTCCCCCCAAATCCCATTGCAGTCATTGTCCATCAGTGCAGTAAGATGCCACAGATGCACTATTTGCCTTCTCTGTGCTACACTGTCTTCCCTGTGACCCCCAACACCATGTGTACTAAACATAATAGCCCTCAATCCCCTTCTCCCTTCCTCCCCAACTGCCCTCCCACACCCCTCGCCTTTGGTAACCATTAGTCCCTTTTTGGAGACTGTGAATCTGCTGCTGTTTTGCTTCATTGTTATACTCCACAAATGAGGGAAATCATTTGGTACTTGTCTTTCTCTGCCTGGCTTATTTCACTGAGCATAATTTCCTCCAGCTCCATCCATGTTGTTGCAAATGGTAGGATTTGTTTCTTATGGCTGAATAGTATTCTGTTGTGTGTATGTACCACATCTTCTTTATCCCTTCATCTACTGATGGACACTTAGGTTGCTTCATGTCTTGGCTATCGTAAATAGTGCTGCAATTAACATAAGGGTGCATATGTCTTTTTGAATCTCAGAACTTGTATTTTTGTGTAAATTCCAAGGAGTGGGATTCCCGGGTCAAATGGTATTTCTATTTTTAGTTTTTTGAGGAACCTCCATATCCATGTGTTCATTTTTGTTTTTGTTTCCCTTGCTCGAGGAGAGGCATTCAGGAAGAAGTTGCTCATGTTTATATTCAGGAGATTTTTGCCTATGTTGTCTTCTAAGAGTTTTGTGGTTTCATGACTTAGATTCAGGTCTTTGATCCTTTTCAAGTTTACTTTTGTGTATGGGGTTAAACAAAAACCCAGTTTCATTCTCTTGCATGTAGCTGTACAGTTTTGCCAACACCAGTGGTTGAAGAGGCTGAGTGACCCACTGTTTTTAAAACTTGAATGATCAGAATAATATACATGGAAGGATTTCAGTAACTCATAAAATGTTTTTGGTTTTCCTCAATGACAATGATAGCCTACCGAATATTATGAACAAGAGCCTTTTTCTGTTTCCAGATCGCAGAGGGAATGGCCTACATCGAGAGGAAGAACTACATTCACCGAGACCTACGAGCAGCTAATGTTTTGGTCTCCGAGTCATTCATGTGCAAAATTGCAGATTTTGGCCTTGCTCGAGTAATTGAAGATAACGAGTACACAGCAAGAGAAGGTATGTTGGCTGAATGATCTTCAGGTGTTCTGTTATTGTTTAGCTTCATTTTTGTATGTTTTAACAAAGTAATTACAATAGTAATCATTAAAAAAGAATTCATTTGGTAAAATAATCAAAATGTACCATAGTTTTGTGGTTCTGTTCTAATAAGTGTTTTTAAAAAATTATTCCTTTGATTAGCTCCACATGATACTTTTATAAAGTTTATGAATGCTATCGTTTGTATTCAGTTAAACAAAGCAAAACAAACAGATTTGGTAAGATCAAGATTCTTTGTTTGTATGTTAAAGCTTTTCACCCAATGAAGTATTCCTTCCTTAACTGCAGAGAGAATATTTGTAACAATAATTCTATATTCTGGCCTTTTAATTACAAATTAAAACATGGAAGTTAACACACACAGAGAAGTAAATAAATGCTACAAAGATGCCTTCCTTAACTTCCTCAGTTTGCATATTAAGCACCTGAACCAAAAGCAGTCAGAGGGGCATAAACCTCCCAGCCCCTGGCACATCACTCTGTGGCTGGGCCCTGTCCGGGGCTGCACTGGCCTTTCCTGCTGGAGACTCATCGTTGCTTATGATCTGAGCATTCTGATGGTCTCGCTCATAAAAGCTGAGAATCTTTGCAGTGCCTTCTCTTGTCTGAAAGAGCCAAGTGCTTTCTTGACATTCCTAAGAATTGTTAAACGAAGATTATTTCCTTTTAACTACATGAGTGTTGTTTCCAGAAGATTCCACAGGGTTTATGAAGGTGACAAAGAGATTGAAAATTTCGTTTTGATTTGTTTAGCATCTCTTGTGTCCATCATGTTTAAGGTGGTTCTCCTCCTGCCTCAAACCTGTGTTCTCTTAAGTAGGTTATAACTCATCTTTGGCCTTAATTATGCTCTGCAAGAAGGCATTCAGAGAACAGTTTGGGGAAAAGTAGTTAAAAAATAATCGCTAAAATGGACTATTTGCAATGTGTCAGGCACTAAGTGCTTTCCGTACATTATCTCATCTGTCTTTACAGTAACCCTAGATAATGAGTAGTAGTATTGTTGTTGTTATCTCCACCTTATAGATGTGGAAATGGGGAGGTTCAGCAGCTTCTGAAGTCCCATAGTAAGTGGTAAAACCAGGATTCAAACCTAGGACAACTAGCCTCAAAGTAGTTTGACAAGCCTGAAATGTCACAAAAATAACTGTTTTCATGCAAGACAGGTGACTTAGTGCAGGGAGCTGGGGTTCTGGATTAAATTACTCATCTCAGGGCAACAGTAATGATATTTACCTTTTATTATTGTTTACTCAGTGTCACGCACACTGATGGGCCACTTAAAACTTGACAGCAACCTGCAGAGGTTCTGTTATTTCCTCATGTTACAGATGGAGGCGCCAATTAGGCACAAGGACAGTAAGTGACTTGCTAGAGTCACACCAAGCCAGGAACAGCAGAACTGAGATTCAAACCCAGGCTGAGCAGTACAGGCCCCGCCCCTCCCAGCAGGCTGTCTGATTTGCTCCAGGGTTAAGGCCCGTGTGCCACTGCGAGTGAGGGGCTCACATGAGATAGCTGACCCTGTAGGTTCCCCATGATGACGCCGGGTCTGCCTCTCATGTGACCACGTGGCTAAGTGTCCTCAGCCTCACCTTCTCCTTAGGAGAAGCCTAGTTCCATCACTATCATTCCGGGCAGACCATCATCCTACCAAATTCCTAAAAGTGTAGTAATGTTTGTTCCTATCAATGCAAACATGAAACATGGGAGGAGCATCTAAAATTCCCATTGGTATGGACATAAAAGAGATTGATCCACAAGAATATACACATCAGCAGATATATGTATTCTATATAAACACAGTATGGGTTCATTAGAGAACATTTGAACATAAAGATATATGCTTTAGAGGCTGGGGCTGGGGGATAAACATACAAGCTAAGAATAAATGCTTTTTACATTCTGTGACATGATCTTTTATGTTTACAGTGTGGGCTACTGAAGATATCTCTGGGAAGTACTCAAGAAACTTTGCTTTTTAAAAGGGAAATCTCCAAAAGGAAAATAAAGGAGTGATGCAAACATTTTTAGTATAACATATTGTACCACTCCATCTTGTACTATGTGTATGTTACCTGTTCAAAATAAAGTTAAAATTTTCTGAAAAAGAAGGAAAGTGAAAGGGTCACATGCCTGTGAATTTTTGTTTCATTCAACTCAGAGACCAAGTAAGATTCATGTGTCTTTGCCCTTAGGTGCCAAATTCCCCATTAAGTGGACAGCTCCAGAGGCCATCAACTTCGGATGTTTCACTATTAAGTCTGATGTGTGGTCCTTTGGAATTCTCCTGTATGAAATCGTCACCTATGGGAAAATTCCCTACCCAGGTACCATTTGCTTTCTTATTTCCATTCAAATGGTATATCTGAGAAAAAAGCCAAATGGCATGAGGCATTAAAAAAAAAAAAAGCTAAGAATAAACCATTTGTGCTAGAACTTGATTTTGACTGTCTTTAGTGGAAAGTAGTCTAAAATATGCTTGGATGCTTCTCTGCCTTCTTATTTGATTGAGTGCATATTCTTTTCCTTTGCTAATTAATTCCACTGCTTAATGCCTAAAATGTGTCTGGCACCATCACAGGTGTTGCAGATATGAGGCTGAATTAGAATATTAGACACAGGTGCCCCTTCTAAGCGGTGCACCTGATGGAGGAGGAAACAGACACAGGAATGAGGATTTATGACACTTTTTGGTTAGTTTTGAAACAGAGGTTTGTGTAAAGTGGAGTCTATCTCTTCAGGAAACAACCAGCTCTGTTTACCAGTGAAAGATCCTTTAGATCTTTTACTAGATGTGAGGACATCACTCTGTATTTCCAAATTCCTAACACTGGACACCTTTGGAGCCAGATTCTGCCAGCCCTCCTATCCTAGGTTTGTGCAGGAATGTGCAAGAATGTGCACATTCTTATTGATGTTTGTCTTTTTGCATAACTAGTGGATAAAGTGAATTTAAAGTTAACTTAATTTAATGTTTAAATCATTCCCTCATTCAAAATATATCTGAGGGCGGCAGGCACTCTCAAGACACCTGAATGCAGCAGTCACAGCTTCTGCCCTTGAGAGCTAATATTTTAGTGGGAGAGGCTGGCACTAAAGTGACCACAGATGGCAGGATGGTGAGGAGCACTGTGGAATGTGTGTGAAATGGTTTAGGGGTTAGTGAGTGGGAGGGTGAGGGCTGCTAGTTTTACATGACCATGTGGGCAGCAGCGGGGACTCCGAGCCAGAGCCCACCTGGTTTGGGCCTCAGTAAGTGCGGAGTGAATGGATGGATGAATGAATGACCCACCTGTTTACTCTCCAGCTAGTGTCCATGCTGTGGATGAGAAAGCAGGAGGCAAGCGTGGTGGAGGAGGCCGTGGTGTTGTGGGGAGTGGATGCGGGAGCCTAGAGGGCCTGGAAGAGCTCAGTATTTTGCTCTGTGTGAGACGGAAGCTCTGGAAGGCTTTGGGCGGATGTGGTCTTGGTGCTCTGGTCACCCTCACTGGGGGTGAGCTGTGGAGAAGCCAGAGGGCTTGGAAGCAAGCCTTCCCCCGAGGGGGTGCATTGGGGGGTGCCTGCACAGAGAGGTGACTGTCCTATGAAACCCTTCTTGTGCCAGCATTTCATATTCTGACTGCCACTCTCTTTAGGCACTTATGTTAATGAATAACACTCCTGTCAAATGGGGAAAATATTTCGTGATCGATCCTGATATCTGCCATTAAAATCTATACCATCATTCCTTCATTCAAAATATATCTGAGGGCGGCAAGCACATATCTTTGTATAGATATGTATATATCCATACGTGAAGATTATATATTCAGATTATATGTATAATCTGATACCTGATCAAATAAACACTGAACTCACAAAATGATGTTGTGTGATAAGTATGACAAGCTCCACAATGACGAGATGAGGCCCTGAGGCTCAGGAGGAGACTGCCCGGAACTGTGCCACTGGCTCCCTGCGGAGCTGCTGCTGAACCCTGGGTCTGTGTGCTCCCAGCCTCTCTTTTACCCACTGTGCTCAGTGCCCACATTTGAAAATATTGAGGGTAAAAAATCATCAAAGATATAAAAGAACCAGTAGGAAAAATGGTGAGAATATACATACATATATACAATAGGACCCACCATAAAGCAATGACTCCTCTGTTCCCAGTTACCTTGTCTTTGTAAGGACTGGGGGGCTGGGATACCTTCAGGGGTTCTGAATTGATGAGGGTTTCCAGTCACCAGAGGTGTATGCCAGCTACTAGCACCGATTCCTGATCTGGAGATGTGAACAGAATGAAACAATTCTAACTACCAGAGGACTTGATTCACAGGTGGCCTAGAAATTGTCAAACCAAACCCTGCCATTTCCATCACAGTTATAACACTGTTTATGGGAGAGACCCCACTGATAACTGAATCCTCTGAAAATATTTTCTTTACCTAGAAAAGTTCTGGATATGTTGTTTTAAAAGTTGTTGAGAAGCATATACCTAGCTTTGCAAAATAAAGAGGGAATACCAGAAAGGAGGGGGAAAAAAAAAAAAGAAGTAAGATCGCATATAAAGTGAACACATTTTACGAAGGGGAAAAATAGACAACAAAGTATAATACACCAAAATGTTACTATTCTTGGGCAATGAGATAATGAGTTATATTTTCTTCTTGATAAATTTCTGAAGTTCCTAATTTTCTAAAGTTATGTTTTTACTAAATACTTTAATTCTTGTCTAAGTAACATATATGCACATTAAAAAATCAGGTAGTATGAGCTGATGGACAGTGAATATAATGGGGTGTTGGGGGGAGACTTGATAATATGGGTGAATGTAGTAACCACAATGTTGCTCATGTGAAACCTTCATAAGATTGTTTATCAATGATACCTTAATTAAAAAAATATTAAAAAATCAGGTAGTATGAAAAGGTTTCTAGTGAAAACTTCCCTCCCTGGCCTAAGTTTCTAATGTTCCTCAAAGGCATGTACTTACAGGAATTTTGGTTATTCTAGTATTTGTTAGTCATAGTTCTAAATATTATAGTAATACTATTATTTCTTACATGAAGTTTTTTACATTTTACTTACTATTGAGTAAAAGTATTGGTCACGTGATTCTAAATTCAAGAGATACAAAGAGGTACATGGTAAAAGGTGTATCTTCCACCCCTATTCTTCAGCCACACAACTGCCCATTGGCAACCAATATTATCAATTTCTGGTGGATTGATCAGTCTAAGAATATCCATGCATATATAATTAAAGGTGTATCATATACATGTATTGGCTGGAAGCCAAAACTGCTATCACCACTACAGAACAAACTTTTGGGAATCAGAATGAAATATACAATTTTGTCAGTGTATGTTACTTATCAGGTTTCTAGTAATCAAATACTAAATATGTGGTAGGATAATGTGGGAGTGTCATTCCCATTGGCAGTCCTACTCATTGAAATAGATATTTTGAGCAGGCACATCTAATATCACAAACTTCTGTACACACCAAATACAATTCAGGAAAAGGCTTTTTCGTAATACACTTTTTAGAGAAAAGCTTTGCACCTATTAATCGTATTCTTGGAAAATCTGAAAAATCCTTTGTCTTCAGTTATAGTTAGTCCATTTCAACAATTTTTTGTTGTGTTTTAAAATCTTGCCCCCCATAGACCCAAAGCTATGAGGAATTGTTTCCCTAAAGCATTCTCTGTTTCCACTAATAAGTGAGCCCCGGATGAGAAAAGAGAGTTTTTCCTGATTGTTGCTGTACATGACTTTTGGGTTCATTCTCTCAGAAATTTAAGGCATCAAAGTTAATATTCCGCTTCTAATTCATACTTAGAAGACAGAATGCATTCCCAAATAGGGCATTTTCTTGAGACTCATGACCTAAATAAAATGAAATCCCTAGATAAGTACGATTTTCAAATATACTTATGTTATGAATGCCATACACCAAATATTTCACCTAGAATTTTAAACAAATTATCCTGTACTGAATCCAGCTTCCTAAGCAGCTGGGCCAAAGGCTGATGGCTTCTGAATCCAGTCCTCTGTCTCAGATCTCCTTTTCCCTGTGGAGGAACCCAGGGTCTCTCTTCATCCCTGTTACGTCGTGGCAGTGCGCCTGGGGTGCCCCGTGTGTTGTTTCTGTGTCATGTGGGTACTTGTGCCCTCTATTTGGAAACTCATAGCCATTCAATTTTGGGAAATTGGTGTCTGTTGCTTCTTTGAAAAGATCCTCCTCTCCACTTTCTGTTCTCTTTCTGACTCCCTCGTGGGTAGGATGGTGGACTTCCTGGAGTGAGCCCTTGAGTCTCATGACAACTGTCTGTGTCATTCTGCCCTCCTGTACTGCACTAAGGCCTGCCTTGCCCCCTTCCTCTGATGAGACGTCTTGTGGGAACAAAGGTCTCTGGACCACCAGGCTGCCTTGTCAGCACCCTCGTGGGTCGGTCTCTTCAGCTCTGATCTCTGGGACCATTTAGTTCCTTCAGAGGAGTATTGTCCAGGCCCTGCATGCGGAGCACTGGCCAGGCCATCAGCGTTCTGGAGGTGCACTGGGGAGGGGGCATGTCTCTTTTTTGGTATTGTTGTATTTTTTTATTGTGCTAACATAGAAATAGAATAAAATGTACCATTTTTAACCATTTTCAAGTGTATGATTCAATGGCATTAAGTACACTCACAGTGCTGTACAGCCATCACCACCATCCGTTTCCAGAACTTTTTCATCTTCCCAAACTGGAACTCTGTGCCTGTTAGACACTAATTCCCTTTCCCCCAATCCCCCAGCCCCCAGTAACCTCTCTTTTACTTTCTGTTTCTATGAATTTCACCTCCTATAAGTGGAATCTTATGGTATTTGTCCTTTTGTGACTCTTCACTTGCATGATGTCCTCAAGGTCCACCCATGTGGTGGTATGTGTCAGAAGCATCTGACTCCTTGACACTCAGCCTTTCTCCTCACTCGCAGTCTCCTGTTCCACACTGTACCTCCACCTCCTGGGCCTGGCACTGCTGAGCATGGAGCTTCTCTCCCTTGTTTCTCCAGCATGACCTGGGGTACCTGCCAGGCGGGCTCTGGGTGCCATCCTGTGTGTGGCCACTGACCTCATCCATTCCTTTGTATGTGTGGGAACTCCCTGGTGCCTTCCCAGGGCTTGGTGGGATGTGCCATCCTTCCTGTCGCTGGTGTCCCTCTCCTGCAGGCACTCGGGTTTCACATTCCTCTTCTTGGCTCAGACTAGTTTCTGCCTCTGGCTGACAGGTGTCTTGGTTTCATCAAAGATGGGGTTTAAATTTCTGTTTCTTGTTCTCTTTCTGCTTTTGGATGAATTGAAGGGGAAAAAGGAGATGGGGCAAAAGATCTTTACTTCATTGTGTTAAAAGCAAACAGCAAGAATATTTATATATGAATTTTCTAAAGAAAATGGAATGTTTGTAGTTAGACTTGATTTGCCTTGCTGTTGTAAAGAGAAAGGAGATTTGAAAATAACAAGGTTTTCTGAAGTATCATGTCTTACCTGGCTGTTTCTTGTTAAAATTTTTTGTTGAAATAGAGTTATACAGTATTATATTGGCTTCAGGTATACAATGTAGTGATTTGACAGTTACATACATTACTAAATGCTCACTGTGATAAGTGTAGCTACCATCTGTCACTGTGCCAAGTTATTACAATATTATTAACTATTTTCTCTGTGATGGACTTTCATTCTCATAACTAATTTATTTTGTAGTTCAAAATTTGTATCTCTATCCTCTTCACCTATTTCACCCATCCTCAATCTGCTTCCCCCATGTCAACCACCAGTCTGTTCTCTGTACTTCGGAGCTTCTGTTTCTTGTTAGATATATCTACACTCCTAAACGCTCTGTGGAAATCGGAATCAGGAAACTCATTCTGCTGCGAATGCTCACCTCCGTCGCAAAGCAGAAAAATAATAACTTGCCCTCTTAGAAGTATCATTGGGTGGGGGACTGTGAGCTCCTGGTGGCTGGCACCTCCTCCCTCACACGCACATGGAGGGCCTCTTGTCTTTCAAGACGGCCATGGTTTCTGCAACTGCTGCTCTCCCATCTCCTGTTGCTAACCCCCTATTCCTTCTCCAGTCTCTGCTGTACTGCATTTTTCTCTTTCCTGTGCTTCTTCACCTACTTCTAGTCTGCTAATTCCTAACGATTCTAGATGTTCCCCATCCAGCTCCCTCTCCTGAAGGCATCTTCCCCATTGGACTGTATGCCATTTGAGGACAAGACTCTCTTAGTCATCCTTGTATCTCTCAGAGCTTAGTGCTAGCTCATGACCTGTAGTAAGTGTTCAGTAAATGCTTGCTGAAAGAATCAAGGATGGAAGAGGAAATTGCTTCCTTGTAAGATCACCAGCTTGATGGGTGTTTGCTTTCTTTAACCTACCCACAGACCCATTACCACGTATTGGGTTTAATCTAGGGTCTCTCTCCACCCTCTTTCTTCTTTCATAAGACTTGTCATTTAATAGCTTTATTTTGTTTGTTGGTTTACTTGTACATAAAAAGATAGGCATTAGATTTCCTTCTTTTAATTCCTCTTGTTAAGTCAAATTCCCCAGGCAGGAAGGAGCACCCATGGACTGTCTCTCCGTCGCTGAGAGCTCTTCAGAGTCAGGAGAACATGTAAGAACAAGGAAGAAAAAATCCAGTGAAGGAAGGGCTGGCGGTGGGGGGATTGCCTAGAAAGGCTGATCTTCTGTGGGCACATTATGACCTTCTATACACCTGGAGGTTCTCCAGGAAGAGAATGAAAGAAATAATCCTAACTGAGTTTGCAAGTGGGCTGCTATGTCTATCGTCCTGGATATTAGTCCTTCCATGAGTATCCCAGAACTTTACCCAACACCCATGGAAAAGTAAACACAGATGTTTCTCCTAAAATGTATTCAAGTGAGTTTGGCTAGTTACAAGGGCCAAAGCAGTGCTGAAGCCACATGATTTGTGAACACTAGAACCCCAAATAAAGAAGGTACTGCCAATTGGGCCCTTGGCTTCCAGCAATGAGAATCAAATGAAGTCTTCCAGTTAGAACATTCCAGGTACACAGATATTTAAAGCTGGTGTTTCAGAAGTAGACTTGAGCAAAATTAACTCTCCATGCAAGCAACTTTCAAGAGATCTTAATGATTATAAAGTTCACTTGAATCAATTTTAAAACCAAGGCTCTTTCAAGACAAATTATCTCATCTTCTTTCAGGGGTTTAAATCCAGGCAGGGCCCTTCAGTCATGGTGTCCTTTAGAGGAAAAAAGGATAGTTAAGGGCAGAGACGTTCAAAGGTCACTGATCATGACCCATAGTAAGATATATACAGAAACCCACTCCATATATAAAACAAAGTTCACAAAAACACACTAACTTGCACTATACACAGTGCATGCTGATCTTTTCTATTTTATTCTGTTAAAATTTATGTTTTTAAAATACTGGTAGCTCCCTAAAAAAATTAATTTGATCGTAAGTGGATGGTGACCCACAATTTGAAAAATACTGATTAAAGAATAAATTCAAATGGTCCTGTCTCAAATCCAGTAAGAGATGTTTCCCCTAAAGCTTCTCGCTGTCTTTTAGATTTTTCAAGTGACCACTAGTGGTAAAATCTGTGCCTATGGAAAGGAAATTGGTTGTAATGAATGGAGTTCCTTATATACCAGATATTGCAGATATTCTACATGAAAATATAGTCTGCAGGAAATACAGCTCCTCTTTAGAGGAGCTCATATCCCTCCAGAATAACATATCCATAAAAAAGGCAAAACAGATGTGCCTAAGTACTGCTAAAACTGCTCAATGAGTGTATTTCTCTGTCCCCTTTTAATAATGCAGGAGAATATTATTAAACTGATCCTTTTCCCTTAAAGCTAAGCTCAGTATCAAAGACCAACAGTTCAGCTTCTGAACGACTCTGAGACATTTGACTGTATTAAAAACCATCCTCTGTTACCAGTCTTCTTGCAGTGGGAATAGTGAGCAGCACCCTGGTTCCCTCACTGGATGTTGAGAATACACACATTCCAGAGTCAGGGTGAGCTTGGACTCTGGCCCATACTGAAGACTGAGGCAGTTTAATGATGGGACATAATCAATTGGTCTAGCTGATTTAAGGATCCTGAATTCTCTAAATCAACTTACAGCAAAAAACTGACTTTTTAAAGATATTGATATGAGATACTGTATGTGGAAATGATTTTTTTTGTATATGTATTACAGTTAGAAGCTGAAAAAAAATCCTACAAAGGAGACTGAGATTAAGGGGTAGGATTGGGCCTGAGTAGTTTGTTAAAATTGTTAGTCAAGTCCAAAGCCCTTTTGTCATTTTGTCACAAATACACAGTATCCATTTTTCACAGTAAGAGAACTTTGTCTTCTACTTATCGCATTTGCCTGTTTTCAGTTTGGCAAACTGAATGCTGTCTTGATTCCCTTCATACTAAAATTTATAGTTTTTAATTTATAAATTTATAAAATTTGCTTAGAGAAATTTCCTTAGCCTCCGTATCAGTTTTTTACGGCCGCCATAACAAAATACCCCAGACTGAGCTGCTGAAACAACAGAAATGTATTTTCTCACTGTCTTGGAAGCTTACAGTGCAGGCAGGCGCAGTTTCTCCTGAAGCCTCTCCTTGGCTTGCAGACGCCTCTTCTCGCTGTAGCTGCACACGGCCTTGCCTCTGCCCACACATCCCCATCGGCTCTTTGCGTCCTAATGTTTTATAAAAACGCCAGTCAAATTGGTTCAAGGCCCACCTGCAGGTCTCATTTCACCTTGATTTCCTCTTTAAAGGCTTTTTCTCTAAATAAAGTCATATTCTGAGGTACTGGGGGATATGACTTCAACATAGGAATTTTTGGGGTGACAGTCTTGAGCCCACAAGAGCCTCCAAGTCTTGCGAAAGCTTTATAGAGTAGACACAGGATGTGCAAACAGACTACAGAGGTGCCTGACCCTCAGGCAGCTTTCTAAATGCCGTGGTTTTCTCTGTCTTAGGGAGAACTAATGCGGACGTGATGACCGCCCTGTCCCAGGGCTACAGGATGCCCCGCATGGAGAACTGCCCGGATGAGCTCTATGACATCATGAAAATGTGCTGGAAAGAGAAGGCAGAAGAGAGGCCAACGTTCGATTACTTGCAGAGCGTCCTGGATGATTTCTACACGGCCACGGAAGGGCAGTACCAGCAGCAGCCTTAGGGCGGCGGGCTCTGAGCCATGGGCAGGGATGGCGGCCTCCCTCAAGAGGAAAAAACAGCGATTGCTGATCGCACGAGGTGTGAGGCCGGAATACTCAGGAAGAGCGCTTTCTACGTGGAAAAGTGTTCCCTTCTCATAGGCTGACGCCCACTGGTTTGCGGCTTGGACGACTCCCAGCTGGCAGTCCGGCTTTACTAGACCAACGTCGGGATATAGTCTTCTGAGAAAACACCAGTTCTATTCGAAAGGCACCCACATTGGCCTCTCGTTTACAATTCGATATGCAACTCAAAGGTTTAGAGGTCATCTTAATGACCCGGATGAGCTCTATGACATCATGAAAGGCAAGAGGTACATCTCAATGAATCCCAAATAGTAGAACTAATAAACTCATTTGCAAAAGCGAAATAACGAGATGCGTATGACACACCTTTGTATTTTCTCTATGCTTTGGCTTATTTGTTAAGAAATTACTAACCCAACGTGTTTGATTTTGCAGGTGAAGTCAGAAGCTTAAAAATATATTTCCCAGATTTCATTGATATCCCCTCCCCCCTAAAACCTTAAGACTGTCAAGCATTTTCCTTCCACTAAGATGCCCAGAGCCCCCAGTGTGTAGCCGCCTCCGCAGTACTCGTCTGGTCTGCTTCCTGTCGTAGCGTCTTTTGTGCGCACGCAGAGCAGTGGGTTCCGCGCGTCCTGGACCCTCCCCGCCGGCTGCCGGGCTCACCCAGGCCTCCCAGGAAGAGGAGAAGAGCCTCAGGGACTGCTCCACCTTAAGAAGGAATATTTTTAACAATCCAGCTCTTCAATTCCACAATTTCCTGTATACAGACTTTTGACAATTTAGTTTGGAAGAACAATAAGATTCTAATCTGCAGAAATTTACAGGGCCTTAAGAAACATAGGAATTTCCTTTATCGCTTCATATGATTTGAACATTATTTTAATGATCAAATGTTAATTTTAGTTGTACTCTAGAAAGTAAAAATGACATTTGGGGCTATTTTTGTGATTCAGATCTTTTCTAAATTGAATAAGAATGTGTGTGAGACTATACATGGATATGAAGGAAAAATGAGTGACTATGGAGGCTCAGATGAGCCACTTTAGCAAGGGATACAGGAGGTTTCGTTTACTAAATTTTTTCTACTGTAACTTTGGGAAATGCTATATCACATCATGTTTCACTTATGCTGTTGTGTATATACCTAATATTTCTATTTTTTGATTTTATTTTAATACACCTGGCCCAGTAACATCTCAAGCTTTTTACTTGTGTTCAACATTTCCAGTTGTTGTCAACATATAAATGAGTGTAGACCAGGAAAATGAGAGGTGATTTCATACAGTTACATTGTTTTAAAAATGTGTACAAGTTTACCCCCATCCTTTGAGCATGTTCAGATTAGAGAATGGAGTTGCTGATGGCTTGGACACCTGAGCATCCCTGTTGGGTACCACATAGGATTTATTTTCAAATAGGCATAGCAGGCACCATTAAAATTTCATTTTGTATGTGTGGCTAGCTGTTGGGTGCTGAGGGGAAGAGATAGCCTACTTTTTCCTAAATTTTAACTTCTTCTCCTGTGAAAAATTTTTTTAATGTCCTTTCTAAAAGTCTTGATTCACAAGTTGGATTCACAAATTCTTGATTTGCCATATTCACAGAGATAGAATATCATCATCATATAATATCTGCACAGCTGGTTGCTTGATTCACAGTGGTTAAGTTTTCTACACACACACACCTGTCCACATTTTATTTCAGAATTCCACATATGACCCAACATATTACGTGGAAAGAAAGTATAAAGAATCCCTAAAGCAAAAAGAAGTCTCTAGAAATTACTAAACTTTGTTTTTCTTCTTTCAATTCTGCTTACTTTTCCATTGTACATGCAGATCTCTCAAGTGGTATGTGAGCCTTTCTTCCAGATGTCTGCTTCATTGCCTTGAGACCTCATCAACCCCCTTTCAGCATGTGCCCGAGCCACACAGGACTCAGTGGACAGAGAGCACAGTCTTCCTTGGGCAGCAGGATTCCAGCCTCCTCATGACTGAGGGGCACAGTGAGGGGCTGAATAGGGGTTTGCGTAAATCTCAGGGACTCCAGTGGTGAGCAGAATGGCCTCCATCATCATGTTCCAGGTCATTATTGAGCACTTGAAAAGTAGAATGCCTATCCGCACCCCCAAGGTCCTGCCTTTGTTATTCTGCAGTGTGGGATGTACATCAGTAAACTTGAAAAGCTTCCCTGGTGACTTTTTATACCTAGGCTTGACCCATTTGCAGAATTATCTGCTCAAAAGAAAACCAACCCTCTCTTTCCTCAGATGGCTTGTTGCCCAAAAGAGGATGTAGGAGAAGAGCAGGAAGGAGAAAATGTTCCTTTTTCCCTCATTATGAACCTGAAGCTCACTGAACCTGAAGTAAAACTTGTAGAACTGACGCTGATGTCCTTAGTAGAAGGCAACACTTGGTGCTCCCTCAGCCCTCCAAGCAGCTTCCCTGGGGTCTGTCAGAGCCCCACTGGAAAGTATATTGCCCAGGTGTTCTTTTGGAGGAGATACTCTACTGCAGGAGACTTGACCCTGTCCGAAGAGTGTGTAAGAGGTCAATAAAAGGAGGCCCCATACTTACTTGCTTACACAGAGGGATAGATCAAGGGCAGTGAGCTGTAAGCATAAACTCATTTCCAATTTTGCCTGTAATGATGGCTTTCCCTTGGAATGAACAAACTACATCTGGGGAAGCAGCTGCTAAAGGTACTCAGTACTGAAACACCAGCATTTGAATTAAAACAAAAACTCCATAGCTCAGCTCCCAGGCTTTATGATTTTAACTCATACTCTACCACCAGTTAGTTTCTTGCATTCTCATCCAAAAACATGCTCAAATGAGATTACACCTCCTGTTTTCTGTTTCTGCCTAGTTAAATTGGGACTCCAGCTCTCTGTGTCCTACATTTTGACTACTGAACTCTTTAGATGAAGTGAGGATGGACTTAACCATTTTTCCTGATGTAAGTGGTGATTACAAATACACAAAGATACACATACACCCACCATTTGCTCAGTGCCCTCTTTGTGCTTTGGCATTTTATGAAAATTACATCTGAGTCACACAACACCCCTTGAAGGTATGGACAGTTCTGTCACTATTTAACAGCCGAGAAATCAGCTGCATTCAAGGCCACAGAAGGAGAAACCTGGCTTCACTTCATGCTACATCCTAGTGAAATAAAAGAAGTCACTCTATAGTGAATCTCCCTGACGCAGTGGGGTGTTCTCAGGGCAAAGGAAGTACTTACAGAATGTTTCTATTGGAGGTCACACAGATGTGAGGGAAAATTTCTATTAATTTAGGAAGAAAAGTCATGCAAGAATTCGACTCACCACTCACTTTTTTAAAAAGCAATTTACAGAGACTGCATTCTGAACAAAACGCTTTGATAACATTTATGCTTCATTTTGTAACATGAAGTTGCACTAAACTGATAAAATCTTATCTCAGAAAATGCTAATCTGATAGATGTATAGGAGGAAAGCCATCCAATTTAATTTCCTGTGTTCATATGACTAAATACTTAAGGTAAGAGTGAGTACCAGAAATGACATGGGGTTCTCAAAAATCATGTAATCTTTGGTATTCCCCTAAAATATGGAAATCATAAAGGCATTCTTAGTGGTCTCTATAAGTCATTGGAAAAATTAGAAATAACCTGGATTGGCAAATGTGCAATATTAACACAGAACTCTAGAATCAAAGGTGACATCATTTACAGCACCAAATGCAGATACCAATTCACGACGACGGGAATAATCTGTGAATTTTTTTATTGTACTTATGCTGGACTTGGACAACAAATCCTTACTCTCATCAACTACTGTTAGGGTCAGATGTGTTATTATTATTTCAAGTTTGTTTTTTTTTATCTAAAGGTTAATGCAATGACTATATTGACTATTTGGTGCTTTACCTTCAGTGGACATGGGGGAATAACCCTTAAATCACATAAAACATGTTTTGCAGAAAAATGCCTGAATTCATACTCAGTGGAATGAATGTAGCCTAAAAAATAGCTTCAGGTCAAGTTTGGCCATCAAATGAGTTTTTTAAAAAACTTGACCTAAAGAGTTTTCCAGACTTTGGGATTGTGGATAAGGGGCTGGATCTGGACCCAAAGAGCTTGAAGAATGTGTGAGACTCAGAGGTGCATCCACTCAGATGGCGGCATGAGGATTGTGCATAAAACCCATTTTATGCAGCCATGTTCTAAGCTGAAAATATTTATGCATCTCTGAAACAATCAGTCATTAAAATAATCTCTGATCAAATACACCTTGGAGAGGTCTGATACTTAGCAGTTCAAGTGGGAAAAAATATCTAACAGTTTTAGCTGACCACAAAGCTACCAATGCGCTCTCGCTGCTCAAGCAGCCCAGGAGTGGTCAGGAGCTCTCAAAAAGGCCCCAAAGAGAGGCTCTTTCATAAAACGAAAATCCGAACAAACAGGCGGGAACATCACATTCAGTTCTGTGCGCTTGATGGCAAATTCTCAAATCTTGACCACCCTGGAAAAGTCACTTTGATGTGGGCAGTGGGGTATGCATGAAAACTGTGGGCACATAGAATGTGGAAGTCTCTAGCAGTCCATGGAAGCCACAGCAGGGATGTTTTGGTGGAAGGATAAATCAGTTTAAAACATTTGCTCTGTCAAATAATTGTATTTTGAATCATCCTTTCAAAGACACTTTTTTTTTCAAAGTGGGACATCACTTTCAATCTCCTTTTCCTCAGTGCTCTTGACTTTAAATAAGATATTCAGATGGCTAATAGTAGTTGTTCAGTGCGATGCTTTATTGAACACTTCCCTGAGCAAAGGAATTGGTGTGGGTGTGTGAGGGACGCAGCCAGTTATCCTCAAATTGCCTGCTTTAAGGGGACAGGAATAGTGATGATACAGATAGAACACAAAAATTACTATAAAAGACAAAAAGTAGGTACAAAATGCAAAGATCATTCTGAGGAGCGATCGCAGAGCTGGTTGCAAGAGCAGGCGTGGAGGTGAAGACAAAAGGCTTCATAAATAAGCAACGTTTAAGACTGGCTTTGAAAGGGGACAAGGTGCTAGTAGCCAAAAATGAGACTGTGGGGAGAAGTTTCCGAGACAGGGTGCAGCATGGAAGAGGCAGGGGCAGAGAGTTGTGGGAGGCAACAAAGGACAGAGCCCCAGCTGGTAGAACTGGGGCCTGGTTCTCGCACTTGAGAGAGGGTCAGAATCACCGGGAAGCCTGGTTATAACAGATCACTGGGCCCCTCTGAGTTTCTGGTTCTGGGGGAAAAAGTCTGGGAAGGGCCCAAAGGCAAGGGGAATTCCTAGTCCTGGACACCCCTTGAGACTCCACGTCAACCTGGATGAAGCTGTATCTTGGCAAAAACGTGGAGTCCCATGTGAGCAGTTGCAGGTGAGTCGGTTAGACCCAGCTGGTGGCAGCACTGCACACTTGAGAGCCTCCATCAGGAAGCCCAGCACGCAGCTGTCACCCCATGAACTGGAGCCACATTACATGCCTTCCCACCCTGGCTCTGCTCACTGCTCAGCTGCAAAGTGGGGTCGTTATGGGGAATAAATGCAGTAGTAGAATTTCCTTACGAGCCAGGCACATAGTTAAGTCAATCGGTGCTTGTGAAATAAAGACATGATATCAAGATGCCTGCTTATGAAGATGATTAAGAAAATGGAATGTCAGACAAGCATGTGATGATGTCCAATCCGTGAGCAGTGTGAGGAATGTGCAGATAGGACACCAAGAGGAGGCTATCATGGCAGTGTCTGTGGAGGAGAAACCAGCTCCCAACTATGCTTGACCCAGTAGGAGGGGCAACACTGTGGAAGCAGACCATCCAAGGGCCTTGCCTGACATGCAGGGGTTGTGTTTCTCTAGATCTGGGGTGGGATGCAGAAATCCATGTTGTTTTTCTAACAACTCCCCCCATCTGTGATGTTTATGGAAGTACTCAAATTTTAACCCTGAGAAACTTAACTGGGGAATTGGATTGTGGAGCTGCAGCTATTATGGGTTGAATTATATCCTCTCAGAATCGTTTGCAGTCCTGACCTCCAGTAACTCAGAGAATGACCTTCTCTGAGTTGTTGTTGTTACAGGTGTAATTAGTTAAGCTAAGGTGACATCATGGGCAGGCCCCTCAATCCAGCAAATTGGTTCAAAAAGAACATCAGGACAAGAGAGCGCACACACAGCAGGAAGGCTCCCTGCAGAGACGGGGAAATACCGCCGCCGCAAAGCGAGCAGAGCCGCCTGGAGCAGATTCTCCCTCAGCCCCTCGGGAGGAATCCCCGGCCGACACCTTGCTATCTGGACTTCTGGAGTCTGGACTGTGAGATGAAACATTTCTGTTGTGTGGGTACCTAGTTTGTGGTACTTTGCAGCAGCCCTAGCCAATTAATGCAGCAGTCTGGTGAAATTATATAGGAGAGGCTGGTGAAAGAGAATACTGTGGAAAACAGAAAAATTGGGAGACTGCAGTCAGGAAGAGAAGAGCAGAGCCAGCAAGAAAGACAAAACAGGGTGGCGAAGGCAGTAAGTAGGTGGGCTAAGAGTGTGCACCCAGGGAGGGCCCAGGGGATGAGGCTGGCAGCCCTGTGTGACAGTGTAGGCTTCACTGTCACTCAATTACAGCAAGGTCAACAGACAAGAAGACGAACAGCCACTGAAAAGATAGTGTGACAGTTCTCAAGAGAAGAGTGTGCACCTCAGCCACCCTGGGCCACCCCTGGCAGCGTTCTGCAGGAGGCAAGGCCGGGTGAGCAGGTGCAGGATGGCTACAGTGAGTGTCAGCAGCAGGCCAGGGAGTCCCTAGGGGTCTGGCCCCTGGCCCTGGGGGACTAGGCAGGGGGAGAGTGGCCCTGAGTGTGACAGCAGATAGAGGTGGCAGGGGTTGCACGTGACAGGCATGCTCACAGGGGAGTCCTTCATGCTCTCTAGGAATTGGCTGGCCTTGGAGGGTAAGTCCCTGCAGGCTCAGCAAGCTCCCAATGTCCAAGAATCAGAATGTAGACAAAAACAAAACACGATTAAGATACAGTGTCCAAGGCCTCCATCAGGTGGAGGAGGACAAAAACAAGGCAAAGCAGGGTGGGATTTGGGCACCAGAGGAGCTTAAGCTCCCCGAGTGTGGGAATCGCATCCCAAGGTGACCCGCCCCTGGTGCCAGCTAATGTGGGGAACAGTGGGGGGAGAAAGGGTCAGAGGGCTAAAGAGAAGGAGGTGAAAGCAGGGAGGGAGGGAGAGAAATGGGGCTCTGGAGGGGGGGCCGAGTTGATGGCTCCATCTATTCCGGCAAGTGGCAGTGTCCCAGGTGACAGAAGAGAGCCGTGAAGGCAGCAGGTGGGGGTGGGAGCCACCGAAGTGAGTGTGGACGAGATGGTGGGTGGATGCTCTGCCCGCTGTGCAGCCACCGTCCCTGTGCACTGGCTGGGGAGGAGCCCAGTGGGGCTCAGAGCCGCCAAAGCCGCTGATGTGGAGCCGCAGGGCCTCCGGACGCTAGAGGCTGGGCCCTGCTCACCTCCAGGCGGGTGCTCCTGCCTCACCCCCGGGGATGCTCCTGGTGTAGCGAATGTAGACTAACGTGTTACAGCTCAGGGCCCTGGCCTGCTCTGGCTGCCATAACAGCACCACAACAGAAATTTCTCATAATTCTGGGGCTGGGAGTCTGAGATCAAGGTGTTGGCAAGATTGGTTTCTCCGAAGGCCTCCCTCCTTGTCTGCAGAGGCCACCTTCTCCCTGTTTCCTCACGTGGTTACCCTCCTTTCTCCACTGTCACATTCTGAATTCCTGGGATTAGGCCCTCAATGTATGGATTTGGGGGACACAATTCACCCATAACAGTCTCTCAGGAAACAGTATGGGCTAAAAAGGCAACTGGTGGGCTTCATGCTGTGCCAGCTCCATACAGCACAGTTGTGATGTTCATGTTCCCCTAAAACAAACATCAAGGCCCACTGTCTTGCCAATGGGTTTCAGCCCTGGGCACGTTCACTATGGATTCAGTGAGACAGGAATGATGGTGGAATGTTCTTGGGGTGAAAGAGTCTATTAACCGGCTTGTTCCCCTGGCGACAGGTCTAGCACTAGAATTACGTCTGCACCCAACAGTCTGCAGGTCTGTAATCCTCCTTCATCTCTGCCTCCACCCAGAGCACTGGACTGAGCTTTTTATATAGTGACTCAGTCAATAATAGCTAATTGCCTGCCTGTGTGGAAGCAGTAGCCTAGCAGCAGGCCAGTTACATCATCTGGTAGTTTAGGTTCACATGAAGATCCTGGCTATAGGAACCTTTAATTTATCCACACTCCACCCCTCCAGGATTCTCACCTCATAGTCTTTATGCTCTCAGTCTTTTATAATGGTCCCTGTATGAGAAATCAACAGAGGATAACAACATAGAGATGATAACAAAAATTAAGAAACAACAAGATTTTGATACAGGTAACAAAAATTATAATAATCCTCAAGCCAGAGGAGGTTCCTAATAACAAAAATTATAATAATCCTCAAGCCTGAGGAGGTTATTTCAGCCATATTTAAAACCAGTTCTACTCAGTTGAGTTCATGACTCACACTTAGTAGTGCTCCATGCACCCCAGTGAGTAGTAGTTTTTTGCCAGGGTGTGTGCCCAATCCACAGAGACCTTAAGGGTGATAAGACACGTGTTTTAATGACACCAATATAGGTAAATCTTGTCCGTCAGGTAGGATGCATGCAAGAAAGTAGTCCTGTGATAGGACTGTAGCAGGAAGGGGTCCCATCCAGATCTAGGATACCATAGCTTTACTCCTCTCCCCATGGGATTACTGAAGGGTCTATATATAGTGTTACTGGAGGTGCATGCACTGGTCATAATGATATAACAAAACTCCCTGGTAAGATGCTCCTACCTTCTGGCTATTCAGGACATACTATTGTGATCTTTGGGGGCCACTCTGCTGTTACTCCAGGAATACAGGAGGCCAGCTTCCAGGCCTTGTCCCCAAGGTGCCAGGAGAGCTAGCCCATTGTTGGCCCATGTGTTGAAATGTCCAGGGGCATGTCCATCAATGGAGGCTCCACTGTTCAGTGCAGTTGGTGCTGGCAACAAGATATTGTTCTGGTGGCCAACCCTTGGCTTCAGTGATTCTTCCTTGGTTTGTACTTGCAATTGTATACAGGAGGCAGCAATATGCATTAGCATGTCTATGGGGCTCAGGGCTCCCTTTTGGGGTCTCTCATTCAAATGCCATAGCACTGTCCATAAGTGGACTGACCATCCCTGCA